CCCGCCCCGCCCCCCAGCCGGGTCCCCGGCCCCCAACCCGGGTCGCCGCGCAGGGACCTACAACCCCGGGGCCTCCCCGCGGACCCCACGCCCGCCTTATCGCACCGCCCAGGCGCACGCGCTTCTCCCCCAGGCTCTTATCGAACTCCACAGAGCAGAGAAGCCCCGCCCCGGGACCTCCCACGGCCCCGCCCCGGGACCGCCCCCTCCGAGGTCCTGGGGACAGTCTGCCGGGCGGGGTCCCGGGGTGAGTGTGCACCTGCCCGCGGCCGCCGCGGTACCGGAGCGCCCCTCTGGGGGCTGCAGACCCAGAACCCGCCCAGATCTTCCGGGTGTGACCCCCCGGGGCAAGCCACGCCTCTCTGTGCCTCAGTTTCTTACTGTGCAATATGGGGTTCGAATACACGCCACCAGATAGACGCATCTTCATAACAATTATGCCGAGGGAAAGAAACCAGACCAAAAACAAAAACAGAATATATTCAGGACTTGCCCGTGGCTCACTCAGGAGAGCGCGGTGCTGATAACACCAAGGCCACGGGTTCGGATCCTATATAGGGATGGCCGGTTGGCTCACTGGGTGAGCGTGGTGCTGACACCACCAAGTCAAGGGTGAAGATCCCCTTACCGGTCATCTTTAAAAAAAAAAAAGAATATATTCATCGCAGTACCATTTATATAAAACTCGAGAAAATGCAACTTCATCTATAGTGACCTAAATAAAGCAGATCAGCAGATGGGGCTGGGGAGGGTCGGTACGGAGGGATTAACAAACCTCACAAGGAAACTTTTTGGAGTGGTAAATATACTCAGTATCTTGATTGCGATGGTGGTCTCACGGGTGTGAGATCTCATCAGATCGTACGCTTCAAATGTGTGTGGTTTGTTATATATGTCAATTATACTTCAATAAAGCTGTCAAAAAATTTTATATGCATCTAACCAATAAGGATGTTGGAGATGAGCTGAGTTAATCCATGTAAAGTGCTTAGCGTGGTGTTTGAGGGACAGCTAGGGCTCAGGGAGAGCCAACCATGTGATGTCAATGTAGAGGGACTCTGTGAGCCGCACAGAGAGGGTGGCCTCTAGTGGCCATACCAAGAGTTGTGTCCTCAGCCCCCTGAAGGAACTCAGATGAGGATTTGGACGAGGTGTGGACACGAAGAAGGCACAAAAGGACAATCACCTCCCTGACTTCTCCTCCTCCCTCCTCCTCTCCTTTCCCTCAGTTCCTTTCAATCACACCTGCCTCTTTTCTCAAACTCACCAGCTACATCTCACCCCAGGGCCTTTGCACTGGCTCTTCCCTCTGCACAGATTGCTCTTCTCCTCTGCGTGGCTACCTCTGACCTCTCTCAAAATTCTGCCCCAACCCCCACTCCTGGGCTCCTTCATTCTTCTTTCCCTGCCTTTTATTTTTATTTTTTTGTAGTTGGCAGGTTCAGGGATCCAAACCCTTGACCTTGGTGTTATAACACCGCATTCTAACCAAGTCAGCTAACCAGCCAGCATTTGTAACTGCTGTTGTTGTTATTCTAATCCCCATCACTACCCTTTCGGATCCAGTCCCCATCATCACAGTCCCTCAGCCTTGGCCTTCTGGCTACCACCTCTGACCCCTCAAATCCACACAACAGCCCAAACAACCTATCTATAAAATTATTGTTATGAACGATTTCCACCACACCAAAAAAAAAACAAAAACAAAAACAAAAAAACTGAAAAAACCTGGAGCAGCACAAGGCAGTAGAAACATGAGATATAATTTTCTTTTTGCTTGTTTATTTATTTATTCATTTTTCTTTTGGTGGCTGGCCCGTACAGGGATCAGACCCTGGACCTTGGTGTTATCAGCACCACGCTCTAACCAACTGAGAACTGGCCAGCCCTATAATTTTCAATAGTCTAGAAGCCATGTTAAAAAAAGAAAAAGTAAAAAGAAACAAGTGAAATTAACTTTAATAATTGCATCTGGCCAGTATGGGGATCTGAACCCTTGACCTTGATATTATAACACCGTGTTCTAACCAACTGTACTAACCAGCAAGCCCAGTAATGCTTTTTATTTAATCCAATATATCCAAAATATTATCATCTCAACATGTAATAAATATAAAAAATTACTGAGCTATTTTAGATTTTGGGGGGGTACTACGTCTTCAAAATCCGATGTGTATCTTACACTTTACAGCACATCTGAATTCGAACTGGCCATATCTCAAATGCTCCAAAGCCACGTGTGAGATCAGTTGCTACTTTATCGGACAGCACAGGAAATATGATTGTCCATGTCAAGACATGAGATATCAGGCCAGCCCGCGGCTCACTCGGGAGAGTGTGGTGCTGATAACACCAAGTCAAGGGTTAAGTTCTCCTTACTGGTCATCTTTAAAAAAATAGAAAAAGAAGACATGAGACCTTACAGATGGCCCCCCGAGACCTTCTCTCCCTGTCCCCAGACAACCTCTGCCTAAATTGGGGTTGATCACTTTGAGCCGGTGTAGAGCCGGAAGGCTTCTGCACCCACCTAGTCAATTTGGTGACTTATCGCTATTGCAGCTGAATCAGATCTTTCTTTTTTTTTTTTTTTTTTTTTAAGATGACAAGTAACCCTTGACTTGGTGTTGTCAGCACCACGCTCTCCCAAGTAAGCCAACCGGCCATCCCTATATAGGGATCCAAACCTCATGGCCTTGGTGTTATCAGCATCACACTCACCCAAGTAAGCCACAGGCCGGCCCCTGAACTAGTCTTTCAACTCCTTCTTCTCTTCCTCTTCTCTGTTTTCCTCCTCTTCCTTCTCGTCCTGCAAGGTCCCACCCCCTTAAGCAAACCAGTCACCAAACACCTGCACCTCAGGAACTCTCAACTGGGCCAGCCCAAGCTGTTCTGGATCCAACTGTAGCCACCACCGAGGATCCTAAATAACAACGATTGTCACAGGTCAGCCAGTGTTGTGGGTGGAATTCTATCCCCCCAAAAGATACGTGGAAGTCCTAATCCCAGGTACCCGTGGATGTGACCTTATTTGGAAATATGGTCTTTTCAGTTTTCATTAGTTAAGATAAGGTCATCCTGCATTAGGGTGGGCCCTAAATCCAATACGACTGATATCCTTTAAGAAGAGACAGACACACAGGAAGCAGATCATGTCACAATGAAAGCAGAGATTAGGGTTATAGCTCTGTAAACCAAAAAAAACCAAGGGTTGCCAGCAACCATTGGAAGCTAAGAAAGAGGGAAGGAAAATTCTCCGCTAGGGTCTTCAGAGAGAGCATGGCTCTGCCAACACCTCGACTTTGACTTCTAACTTCCAGAACTGTGAGAGAATATTTCTGTTTTAAGCCACCCAGTTTGCAGTAATTAATTACGACAGCCCTAGGAAGCTAATACAGCCTGTTTATCCCTCTTCCCCTTCAGGCCTCGGCTTGTCCATCACCTGCTCAAAGGCCTGTCCTGACCTCCAGCTCAAGCCAGGCCCCCTGTATGTGTTCTCAGGCTCCCCCAACCACAAATGCAATCATTCTTAAGTGACTGTGTCACTGCTCGTTAATCCCTCTGTCCCTGTAAGAACAAAGCCTCACGAAGATGAGAGCTACAAGTGCCTTAACTCTACTATTCTTTCAAGAACATTTATTGTCATTGTCATGTCCCAGCTAAGGGCCAATAATGCTAATGAGAGAAAACCAGCCATCCTGCTCTCTCATTACTCTGCTGCTGGAACATGATAGACACAAAATAACTGCTTGTTGAATGACTAAGTGATTATGAAACTAGCTGTCCTCAAAACTTCCCTTCAGGTTTTCCTTTTTTTTCTTTGGCGGCTGCTCAGTAGGGGGAACCACTGAACCCTTGACCTTGGTGGTGTTACAAGGCTGCACTCTTTTTTTAAAAATTTTTTTCCCTTTTTGTCTTTTTTCGTGACTGGCAACGGGATCGCAACCCTCAGTGTCGCGCCCGCACCGCGCTCAACCAGTGAGCAGACCGGTCTCTATATGGGATCCGAACCCTCGGCAGGAGCGCCGCCGCACTCCCAAGCACCGCCGTCTACCGAATGCACCACTGGGCTGGCCCTTTTTTTGTTCCTTAACAAGGCTGTACTCTAACCAACAGATCTAACCAGCCAGCCCCCTCCAGCTGTTTCTGAGGGTCTTCACAGGTGGCTTCCCGAGGAATCCTATCAATTCTGTTGAGTTTTACTAACGAGACTCTCCCTTTTCCCTACTTTTTTTTTTTTTTTTTTTTTTTTTTTAAA